AACTGAGCATGTTATCTGAAGAAGATCAACTAGAACTCTATCAATCGCGGTACGCTTTCATCTTTTCAAACTTCGCCATTTTAGCTTTCACTGGGTCTACCCTAGGTGTTTAGAGGCGACTACGTATCCGCGTGCTTATATCTACTTGATATATTCCGCGGGCGAATAAATGCTGAAAAGGATTTCAAAGAACACCTTTCGCAGTATCTTTCCGAGCATTTGCGACATCTTGTGGACCTGGCAATGGACGGATGCAAGGAGGGCAAAGTTTCGGAGCTTGTTGCGCATTACAAAGTAAGTAAAATAGAAATTGGCGACTTTTAAGTGAGGCGGATGTTGCAGGCTTATATATCGATACTTTTGACTGTATCTATAGGAACAAAAAGCTTTCACTGTTTGTATGAAGATATTTGGCCGAGGTGAGCACCAGAATTTTGCTGATCTTGTTGCAATAATCAGCGAAATTAGAGTGGAGCGTGATGTGATATCGCGGGCCATTTTCCTCGAATCCCTGGATGAGTTTGTTTTGGACGGATCTTTGGAATCTCCACCTCCGGCACTTGTTTCGGAGTATTTGAGTCACTTAGCCTCAGAAGGTCACTTCTCGCAACTCCAAGCATCAGTTGTTCGCTTTCCGATAGAATGTATTGATATACATTATGTAAGTCTATTATTCTATTTCAGATTACAAATACTGTCTTCATTCTCTAGGTCATGTCTACCTGTAAACAAAATGGTCTTTATGATGGTATAATTTATGTTATGAACAAAGCATTTGGTGACTACTTGTCACCACTAGAGGTTTGTAGCTAGTTCCTCATTTTGCACCCATTTATCTAGAGGATTTTCAAACGTTCAAACCTGATCCCTTTTCTATAGGAAATGCTGTCTGATGTGTCATCTTTCGCATCTCATGAGGTGTTGTCGGATGCAGAAGTGGAAAGAGGCAACCGTCTGCTTCTTTACCTGCATTGCTGTCTTACTGGACACTCCTATCCGTATGGCACCCTTCCTCCAGAGCTATCGCATTCCATTCCCGAGGAGGTAACTACTGTAACTGTGTGATCATACTCAGATTTTTGATCAGGTCTACCGCTGCATTACATCACTAAAAGGAAAGGATGGCACTTCGACGACTGCAAATTACCCTTATCTTCGCCTCCTGCTGCTTTTTGATGCGCAGCAGGTATTTCATGATTTCTATATCTGCTTCGGAAGTCATTCTCAGTCGCGATGCCATATTCTTGCTTGCATTGTCAGTTCAAACATTTTCATATCCCCGGGCAGCTTAAAGGCAGCGTCCCCCTCAAACTGGTGACTTCTGGAATTTGGCAACCTTGTG